ACACTTTGAGTGTGTGTTTGTGGGTTTTTGTTTATTTTCCAAGGAAGTTTTAAATACTTAACATATTACACATAAGGCTGAATGACAATGGATGTTATCATTTGGTCACATGAGCTATATTTAAGACAGTCCCACATGCATGCGGGAATATTTGGAAATGAATGTTCGATTCAGCAATGTGTGTTGCACTTCTACTTTGCATTAAGTGATAGGAGAGAAAAACATATAAATGTGGGCTTATTATGAGATTTGCCCATAAAATAGGGAATTTTGGTAATTTAAAATAAAGTGCTAAATGGAATATAACCAAAACCAACAGACAGGTGAGCTCATCTGTGTTGCACCTAGCAGAAAAGAGAATTATCAGTATCAACCCAAATCTTTGAGAAATGAGTGCCCCATGACAGCATATCAGTTATCTTGCCTTCTAGATTCCTAACATATTAGGTCATAAATGATGACAAAAGAAAGTCTTCACTAGAAGCCAAGACATTTATTGAAGGTCTGTTTCAATCATATATTGTACAAAAACAAACCACCCCAAAACTTAGCAGCTTAGAAACAACAATCATTTTATTTTCTTTCTAACTCTATAGGCTGACTTGGTTCACCTGAGTGGCTCTTTGCATGTGATGTCAGCTGGGACTCTAGTCGACTAGGTGGGGCCTTGGCTGAGCTGAATGTCCACAGTGGAGAACTTACATGGCTGGTGGTTGATGCTGGCTGTTAGCTGGGAGTTAAGCTGGGACCATAGACTGAGTGTCTCCACTCTCTTCCACCTGGCCTCTCCATGTGGGTTGGACTCCTTACGATATGGGATTGTGTTCCAAGAAGGAAATGTTGCTGAAATACCATGGATTTGGCCTATGTCCTGCTGCTCACCACACAGAAAGGCAATCACTGAGACAATGAGTACTGCCAGGAAAGAAGGCTTTAATCAGGTGTTGCAGCCAAGGAGATGGGAGATCAGTCCCACATCCATCTCCCCAACTGACTACAATAAGAGGTTTATAGAGCAAGAAAGAAATGTAACGATGTGTGGGAAAACAAGAACTAAGGAGGGTAGGGAAGAGGAGCTGGTCGACAGGAAGCAGGTGGTAAGTTAGGCAATCATGACAGGTGAGGGATCTGACATCTCATGGTCCAGAGGCAGTGATCTGGTGAGTTTCAGTTTCTTGATACTATCTGGTAGTCCTGGTGGTTGGTTTTCTGGAAAAGGAACTCAGATAAGACAAATGTAACTTTCTCAGGTTTTAAGACTGGGAGGGCTAATTTCTGTTTATTCAAGAGAAACCATAAACATCAGTTCTATGGAGCAAGTGGGTCAGTTTCAGAAGCAGAAGCTTCCAGGCCTTTTAAGGTTTGGGCTCAGAAGTTCCAGATTGTCATTTTCTATCATATTCCATTGGACAAAACAGTCACATCGCTAGCCCAGATGCTAAGAGAGGATAAAAAATGCCACCTTTCTATGGCAGAGTAACAGACATAAAGGTGAAAGCAGGAACTTAGGATGGCTGTGTTTGGAGACTATCTACCCATAGAGCTCGAATAAACACACAAAACATGCATGGCAAAGGCAAGACCTTTGCATCGGTCAGCCCGCCCAGGTCACTGGTCAGCCTGCCAAGTCATTCTCCTGGTTCTGTTACAGTCTCCTGCCTTTGTCTTCTTTCTATCTGGCCTTCCTTTGTATAAACTGAACTTCTAACTTCTGAACATCTTTCAAACCCAAGACGCCTGCATCTCTCCTAGAACTGAAAGCCTTTTGCCATGGTCTCGCTTCCCAGGCTTGACTCTTATCTCCTGCACTCTGAGCCCCACAGGACATCCTTGGTATAGTGGACTCTCTCTCAGGCCTGTGTTTTGGACCCTGATGTTCAATTTCCTCTGTGGAGCTTCATGGACTCCTAGTCCCAGCCTGCCTACATGGAATCTGACCTGTTTCTCCCAACACCCTAGTTTTAACCTTGATAGAGCATGGATGGGAGTGGACAGATAGTCATAAAAGATCCCATAGATCTTAAGAAGTTAAATGTCTTTGATTGAGCAGAGGGCTGAGCAATGCCATACAACTAGGACTCAGAACAGGATGCTTGCAGAACAGAGAGGGTTGAGGGAAACTCAGCTTGGATGAGGGAAAAGGTGAGGATGGCTGGGAAAATTAGGGTTCAGGGCCAGGTGATAACAATCAAGCAGTTTAGACTTGATGTGATATGAAACTGTAAACCACTGTGCACTCTTGAGCTGAGGTGTGGCTTGGTGAAATGATGTTTAAGCAAGATTTGTGCAGGAGTGGAATGTAAGGTAAAGTGGAGAAATTGAAACGAAGGAGGCCAATGGTAACTGGGTGCACAGGTGATAAGTGCTAGGATTAAAGGGGACTACAGTGGAAAAGATGAATATGAGACCATTTGAAGGGAAAAAATCTACAGGGCAGTGATTTCTCCAAGATGGGAAATTCAACTAAAGATGGCCAGTGGGAAGTTGCTGTAGGCTCTGGGGAAGGGAGGGGCTGAAGACAGTAGAGGGCAGAAAGCAATGGACAGGTTAAGACTGGAGGGGAGGAAAGGTCTGTTATACAGTACAGGCTTCCTCATCTAAGCTGGTGGATGCTGACATGAAGAAAGAATGACTCAGAGAAAAATTCAAAGGCAGAAGAGACAGGCTTTAATGAAAGTTTCAACTGAGAAGAAAAAGAGAAAGGCTAGAGTAGAAGTGACTCGTCTGAATTTTGACAAATGGTGGGGCCAACAACAGAAAGATTGATATGGTGAGGAAAGGCTGGCTTGGGAAAGAAGCTGAATATCACATAGACTGAGTCTAAGGTGACACAGAGCACTCTGGTAGGAACATCAGAAAGGGCCTAGAGGTGGGATGACAAGTTCGGCAAGGCAACATCAAAGTGTAAGTCCCTCGTTAAGAGTTGAAGTCCTGTGCCAGTGCAGATGTGGTGCCTGTCTCTGTCCCCAGACCACCTTGTGTTCGCTCTTTGCCACCTGAAGAGTAAAATGGCAGGATAGGAAGGAACGTCATATAGGAATGGTACAGGGAGCCCTGAGATCCACCTGTTGCCCTTATTCTTCTGAGTTCTCTAGTGAGCCTCCTAATGCGCACCTGATCTCCACCACTCAGCATGAACAGTGCTGGTTGCTAGGTCTGAGGAAGCATGGTTACATTACCCAGGTATCTCCCCAATATGATTCACATCACTCAGCTTCAAATGAATTTGAAGCTGTGGATCCCAGACATCTGACCTAGGTGGAGAGATAGCTGAAATCCTCAACAATCCCTATGCACACCTCTTATGGAAACCTGCTAGACCCTGAGCCCTGAAGTGGCCGTTCAGACTGGGTCATGCTCCTGCTCCTTTCCCATTCCCACAAGGTTGTCTCAGGAGGAATGAGGCCCTCCTCTCCTCCTCTTTCCTCTTTTTCTGACTTGGACATAGATACTGCTCCCAGTTTCTCTTTTTTCCTGTGTAGTGGAATTTGGGGTCACCTCTCTCAGTTCCGCTTCTCTCAATTAGCAGTTAGCATCTAAAAAACCTCCATCAACCTCAAGCTTTTAATCAAGTAGAAAGTTCCCTGCTTTTCTCCTTAGCTGGTATCAGCATTTTTCTATGTTTTCTCTCCTCTCTCTCTCTTGACAGTTCTTGCTATGTTGCTCAGGCTGACAGTGGCACGATCACGGCTCACTGCATCCTCAAACTCCTGGTCTTAAGCAGTCCTCTGACCTCAGCCTCCCGAGTAACTGGGACTACAGGCACATACCACCGAAATGGTATGAGACTACTCACCAACCCCAGTGCCTACAACCTTTCATGTTACCAAACTTATAAATGTTCACCCATCTGTTTCTACTACACTTTCTAAAATGTTTCATATGACAAAGTTTTATTTTAACATGGACAGTGTCTGTCCCCTGCCTGGGGGTGGGATGGAACATATATCCCAAGGGTAATTCTATGGATTTGCATTCAAAGAGTCTTGAGTATTTTTTTTTTTTCCTATTAACTCTGTGTGTGGAAGAATTCACTTAGCAGGGAAAAAGTCAAAAGCTTAAGACTGGATCTTGGGGGATACCTGCCTTCAGTTCAGAGAGTAAAAATAAAAATGGGTGAAGGACAGAAAGAAGTGGTCAAAGCCTAAGAGAAAATCTAAGAAAAATTAAGAACCAAAGGAGCAATCAAAAAAACTGGCAAGAAGGAGTTTGGGGGGCAGGAAGCTCTGTGGGGGAGCAAGGAACAGCACATGATTCCTGAGCCCTTATGTGCTAGGTTCTGTGCTAATTGCTTTGCATGCAAATTCCATTTAACATTCATAGTTAACTTTATGAGTTATTAACATGCCCACAAATCTGAGGCATGTTCTGTATGGTTTCCCAGAGTCCTCCCAGGAGGAGTGGGGATGGAATTAAGTTCCAGGTGCTCACAGTAGCAATTTGCTTGATAATATAAGCTCTAATGGCGTCTCCTTTCCCTGTTCACTTCCTTATTCCCTACCACATTTTCCAGCATCACCTCCCAAATAAACTACTTGTACTCACATACTTGTGCCAGGGTCTCAGCTGCATCACTGTGGCTAGGGAGGGGAAGCCCTGAGGTATAATTTTCTCAGGCTCCTCATGGGTCCTCTGCCTCTCCAGCTCTGAGTCAAGAACTGCCTCAGGGCCTGCTAAGTGGGAAGGGGTGATACCTTAGCAGAGGCAGGAGTGGGTGCTCAGGCCAATGGGCTGCTGGAGGACTTGTCAGGGCTGGAGGGTCTGCAGTCAGGCAGAGCTAATGGAAGGCTGGTCAGTCACAGGAGGTCAGCTACGGATCCCTGTGGGCATGAGACAGACCATGAGTTCTCTAGCCACAGACTGTTGGCCAAAAGACCAGCAAGGTAGCTAGGAATCAGAGGCATAGGGGCCATCACCCCAGGAGGGAGCTGAAGGACACCATCCCCAAGGATCCTGTTTTAGGTCATTTGTGTTGTTATAAAGGAATATCTGAGCCTGGGTAATTTATAAAGAAAAAGAGGTTTATTTGGCTCACAATTCTACAGGCTGGAAAAGAAGCATGGTGCTGGCATCAGCGTCTGGTAAGGGCTTCAGAAGGCTTCCAATCGTGGAGGAAGGGGAAGAGGAGCCAGTGTGTGTGGAGATCGCATGGGGAGAGAGGGAGCAAGAGAGAGGGGTGGTGCCAGGTTCTTGTTAACAACCAGCTCTTATGGGAACTAAAAGAGCAAAACTTTACTCATTACCTCAAAGATGACACCAAGCTGCTCATGAGAGATCCACTCCCATGACCCAGACTTCTCCCATTAGGCCCCACATCCAACGCTGGGGATCAAATTTCAACATGAGATTTGGAGGGGTCAAATGTCCAAGCCATGGCAGACCCCATATCTTCTTCTCTGCCAATTAAGCCATTGATTTCCTCCCATCCAGCCAAAAGTCATCTTGCAAAACATTCTGGGAAAGATACAGAAGATGCAAAAATCTTAAAGACCAAGCATTGCCTCATAGGATCATTAAATGATTGGATGGCAGATTTAGAAGTTAATTGTTTCCTCTTGCTCACAGGTGGGAGGAGGCTCAGGATCAAGGTCAAACAATAAAAGGGGCCTTCTTTTCTCTGCACAGTTGAGCTATGTTGTGTGTGATTCCACTTGAACAGCCTATGAGGCTGAGCTTTGGGAATCTACGCTGAGAATCAGTCATCCTAGGATTCAAAAATCCTGGAGAAATAGTCTATGGCACCGCTGATGGGTAGAGACAGGAAACACAGTTAATGTCTTCTGAACACGCTGGGATTTGACTTGGCCTCTGTTCAATCCTAGCACACTTTCAGGAGTGGCTCTTTTGTTTGTTTTAAAGTACCTCTCCACCCATGAATTCTGGCCCTCCAGTAGCAGGATGTTATACAAATAGGCCAAGTTTTCCACAGGACTGTGGCTCTCCTTCCCTCCTTCCATGAGGGTATCAATATGCAGAAAAGGCCCTTGCTGTCTCCTCTGTTTTGTGTTCTGCTGGAGTGGCTCTTCCTGCAATCTGCTAAGACAGGAACTGGCTGCACTTAGCTCGAGTGGGCCCTCATCCAGCCCCTCTCAGCCGGGTCTGTGGTGGCCAGGGCCTCCCTGGCAAAGCTAACACACAACTACTATTGAGAAACAGCCGACAAGGGAAAGAGTGGCGTTTGAGCCTTGAAACTCAGGCTTCTGGCTACATAACAACACATCGGATGAGGAGGGTGAGCCAGGAGCCTGATAGAGAAAACAGGAGGCCGCTTTAAGGAATTTACACAGTACCTTTGCATTGGCAGGAGTTTAATTATTCATTCACAGCCAGCCGGATCTCAAAGGCTCAGCTGACAAAGCTTCAGCCCTTCTCTGCAACCATTAGAGGAAGCAGTCTGAGCCCTTTCGCTTGAGTAAACAGGCAGTGAGTACAGGCTACTATGTCCTGAACAATATCGGAGAACAGGGTTTCAGGCCATTTCCTTTACTGGCAGCGTGGTGACTTTTCATAAGGATAAGCTCAAAATGTAAGGGCCAGAGGGTCTGCAGTTAACATGGGGGGAGGAGACTGTAACCATAGCAGCAACAAGAACACTGATAGTAGGGATTATGCATTGAGCCCTTTCTATATGCCAAGCCACATTAGGCATTCTTCCTGCACCCAGAGCAAGCCTTTATCATTGTCCCCACCGTGCATTTCAGGAAACTTGGGCGAAGAGAATTTGCCCCAAATCCTAATCCTGTAACTGCTAAGAGATTGAGCCAGGAAGCCAAAATTAAAATGCACATCTACTCAGGAAACTGTTTTCTATCTATATTTTCTCTCTTTCTCTCTCTGAAACTTTCTTCAAAACCTTTGATGTTACAATTTTTAAAACTCAGACATATGGTTGGCTTTTCCCCCCCCAAAGGCCTAAAATCAAGTCCCTTCATTCATGACTATTCATGATTTTAATTTAAAAATAAAAGAATACTACAGAATACTGACTCAGAAAACTGGGTGTTTGTCATCTGCCATGAACCTGGTTTCCTGCTTGACACAAGGTAAGCAGAGTGAGTAAGTGGCAATTTTTCACCTTTATTTAAACATTTTTTCTCAGTAGAAACTTTGTACAGTCCTACTTTCCCTCCTACCTTGGCAAACAAGCAGGTGACCTTCCTTTGAAATCTCTGAGATGCTGAATCTGTCTTTACGGAACTTCTCTCCTTACCTCTCAACACTGACTCTTGCTCCAGTTCCGGAAATACAGCCGAGAAACAAGGACAAGGCAGAAAAGACACTATCGGTCATCACGCCCCCACTCCCAACCAAGTCAACCAAGTCTTCAGAGAGGGTCCTTTGAGTGCATTTTCCCCTGCAACATCCAAGACAAAGTTAATGAATGCTGAATTGTCTCCTTTTTTTTTTTTTTTTTTTTTTTTGAGACGTAGTCTCGCCCTGTCACCCAAGCTGGAGTGCCATGGTGCAATCTCAGCTCACTGCAACCTCCACCTCCCAGATTCAGGCGATTCTCCTGCCTCAGTCTCCGGAGTAGCTGGGATTACTGGTGTCCACCACCACGCCCAGCTAATTTTGTATTTTCAGTAGAGAAGGGGTTTCGCCATGTTGCCCAGGCTGGTCTCAAACTCCTGGTGTCAAGTGATCCACCCACCTCGGCCTCCCAAAGTGCTGGGATTACAGACATGAGCCACTGTGCCCAGCCTCCTTTTAAAACTAGTGAATTTGAATGATACTTCAGACCCTACAAGTTGTACCAGTGATTTGGTTTCAATCCTATCATATCTTACATGGCAATAATACTGCAAATATATGCACATTCCATACCAAGTGCTGAAAAAATATGGTAGCAGGTGAGTGATGTGGATTTGTTTTCTGTTGCCCAGTATCCACTAAGGCTTTCTAAGGGGTGACCATTTCACACATCTTATTTCTATGTGCCCATTATTACCACAGTCATAAGATCATCTCCCAAAAGGTGGTTCTGGAAAACTAAGTTGATCTAGCAAGGGATTACTAAAATCCCTTTGTATTTTAGAGAGCAGAAGCCTCTACTTGGTGATTTCTGCTGGATTTTCCACTGTCCCAGGGTAAGAATAAAGACAAAATGACCCTAAGGTATGCATTAGAAGATGAATTTTTAATTTTTAACATCTTGGTTGGGCTTTCCTTCATAAACCAAGTTCTGCATTGTGCCCTGTCACCTTTAAGTCTCCCCGGTCCATGCCAAACTGTATTTGCACTAATTGTTTTGACACCGTGTCCGGAGTGCCGGGCTCGAGCTCCTACAGCGTTGCCTCTACTCCCACAGGCTTTTGAGATCCTGTGCTTTGGTCCCATTTATATGAGGACGCTCCAAGATCATCACCCTCCCTCACTTCCTTCTATATCCACCCTGCATTTGTCACCCACCAGTGAGGCTTCCAAGGACAATGGGAGATGCTTTGATAACAGCACCCACAACTCACATTTCCAAAGCACCTCTGAAGTTCTGGGTCACATACCAAGTGCTTCAGAGGAACATTGATTTAATTCTTCCAGCAGCTCTGTGCTGTGTATGTCAGCCTCCACAGCAGGTAACAAGTGGCACTCGAAGAGGCCAGTGAAGGACATTCACAGACACGAGGGTAGGGGTAAAGGACTGATATGGGATGGTGAAGCTCCCAGGAAATAGCAACAGCCTGAAGGAGCAAGGGAAGAGATAGTCTAGTGAGAGCTGGAGTCAGAGAAGAGGAGTCATTTGCCAAGAACACGGCTGTAAAGGAACGCAGCTACATGCAGAGTCTGGGCCAGAAGGCGGTGTGCACGTATAGGGCTGGCGGGGAGAAAGGCATCCATGTCCCTGACCTCACTCTTGTGCCACCTTCCAATCTCAATGGAGCAGCTCCTATTGGCCACACCCAGCTGGCAGGCAGGGGAGTCTGGGGGATTCTGACTGGAGAGGTCAGTCTCCTGGGCACAGAACAGGACAGAGAAAGGCAGAAAGTGGATTCAGGGAAAGCAAGTGGAGAAATACCAGCATAATATAGCTTCTCTTTTTTCCTCACCATGTAAAATGCCCATGTAAAAGATGGGGCGGATGAACTCAGAGGGTTTCAGTATCTGCCCAAGTTCATAAGTGGCAAAGCTGGAGATTCAGATCCAGGCTTTGTGACTTTGGAGTCCGTTGTCTAAGGCACTCTCAATGTGATGTTCCGGGTCCTGCCCCATCCTCTACATCAGACCCAGGTGATTTGGACTTTGCATGTTGTCCAAATTTATTATTTTCCTGTGACAAGCAGTTTGGAGACCAGAGTCTCTTTCTCAGGCCAGCTTTCTGTCCTAAGAAAGTAATTTCAGTCTTGGCGCGGGGGCTCACGCCTGTAATTCCAGCACTTTGGGAGGCCAAGGCGGGCGGATCAGGAGGTCAGGAGATCAAGACCATCCTGGGTAACACAGTGAAACCCCGTCTCCACTAAAAATACAAAATATTAGCCGGGCGTGGTGGCAGGCACCTGTTGTCCCAGCTACTCGGGAGGCTGAGGCAGGAGAATGACGTGAACCCGGGAGGCGGAGCTTGCAGTGAGCCGAGATCAGGCGACTGCACTCCAGCCTGGGCAACAGAGTGAGACTCTGTCTCAAAAAAAAAAAAAAAAAGAAAGTAATTTCAGCATATTGCCACACATTTTAGGTTACTCTGAAACTGTCAAACCACAGACTGGATTTGGGTTTCATCCGACACAGTGTAACATGGCTACAGTTAACTGTTGTCTTCCCGGGAGGACACTGCACATAAAATTCCCTCCCCAATCCAGGCCACACTAGGTTCAGTACCCCAAAGCCCTGTACATTGAGTATTAGCTTGGGAACTGTTTATGACTTCGGCTAAGCCAATGTTCTGACTGGGCTGAAACTTCACTGTTAAAGGCAGGAGAAACACAGAGGGAATTATGCAAACAAAAAAGAGTTCATACATAACTTTTAACTTATTCCTGCCAAATCTTGCTCTTGGATTTAAAAGCATATAGTTGTTCTGTCTGAAAACTTACACTGCCAGGACAATCCTAGTGCCTTTTTATGTCAATGTTTCAAGAGACTTGCTTCTTTGTGTAAACCACAGGAAACCTGGAAATATGTCACACAGCTTTTTTGTGGCAAATATACTTTAAAAAAAATCAATAGGTTTTTGGGGAACAGGTGGTGTTTTGTTACATGATTAAGTTCTTCAGCGGTGATTTCTAAGATTTTGGTGCACCCGTCACCCGAGCAGTGTACACTGTACCCAATGCATAGTATTTTATCCCTCACCCCCCTCCCACCCTGTACCGTGCATCTCCAAAGTCCATTGTATCACTCTTACGCCTTTGCGTCCTCATAGCTTAGCTCCCACTTATAAGTGAGAACATACAATGTTTGGTTTCTCCATTCCTGAGTTACTTCACTTAGAATAATAGTCTCCAATTCCATCCAGGTTGCTGTAAATGCCATTATTTCCTTTGTTTTTATGGCCGAGTAGTATTTTCTTTATCCACTTGTTGATTGATGGGCATTTGGGCTGGTTCCATATTTTTGCAATTGCAAATTGTGCTGCTATAAACATGAGTGTGCAAGTATCTTTTTCATATAATGACTTCTTTTCCTCTTGGTAGATACCCAGGAGTGGAATTGCTGGATCAATTGGTAGTTCTAATTGTAGTTCCTTAAGGAATCTCCACAATGTTTTTCATAGTGGTCGTACTAGTTTATTACATTCCCACCAACAGTGTAAAAGTGTGCCTTTTTCACCACATCTACACCAACATCTATTTTTTTTTAATTTTTTGATTATGGGCATTCTTGCAGGAGTAATGTGGTATCACATTGTGGTTTGGATTTGCATTTTCCTTATCATTAGTGATGTTGAGCTTTTTTCCATATGCTTGTTGGCCATTTGTATCTTCTTTTGAGGATTGTCTATTCATATCCTTAGCCCACATTTGGATGGGATTGTTTGTTTTTTTCTGGCTGATTTGTTTGAGTTCTTTGTAGATTCTAGGTATTAGTCCTTTGTTGGATGTATAGACTGTGAAGATTTCCTCCCACTCTGAGGGTTGTCTGTTAACTCTGCTGATTATTTCTTTTGCTGTGCAGAAGCTTTTTAGTTTAATTAAGTCCCATCTATTTATCTTTGTTTTTGTTGCATTTGCTTCTGGGTTCTTGGTCATGAAGTCTTTGCCTAAGCCAATGCCTAGAAGGGTTTCTCTGATGTTATCTTCTAGAATTTTTATGGTTTTAGGTCTTAGATTTAAGTCTTTGCTCCATCTTGAGTTGATTTTTGTATAAGGTGAGAGATCAGGCAAATCTGATATTTGACTTTAATTTAGATCAAATGTCTACACTTTGAAGACATTTTAATTTTACCAATAATCTTTAAAATTGTCTTTATTTCCAGATTACTAAAGTCATGCAAATAAAAGGCATTAAAGTTTCTGTTTTTCTGACAAAATATGATTTTTAAGCGCTTATTTTTTCTAAGCCAATTAGTCAGAGCTCTTTTATATATAAACATCACACACACAACACATAAATACATAGACAGACAGACAGAAGATCCAGTAGTTGTAAGGTTTTTCATTTGCCAGTGTCTTACTTGGATTACTAGCTTCAGGGTGGAGCCTTTGTAAGAACAGGGCCAGGAAAGCATGCAGCTTCTAGGACCTAATAAGAAGGCTTTGTGGCAAATACACTTTTAAAACCTAACTCTGCCAAGTGCACTGGTGCATGCCTATAGTCCCAGCTACTCAAGAGGCTGAGACAGGAGGATTGCTTGAGCCCAGGAATTCTGGGCTATAGTGCAATATGCCGATCGGGTGTTCGCACTAAGTGTGGCATCGATACGGTGACCTCCTGGGGGTGTGGGAGCATCAGGTTGCCTAAGGAGGGGTGAATATATGGAACAGGTAAGAACTCACGTGCTGATCAGGAGTGGGATTGCATCTGTGAATAGCCATTACACGCCAGCCTGGGCAACATAGAGAGATCTTGCCTCTTAAAAAAAAAAAAAAAAAAAAAAAAAAGACAAAACCTGGCTCTTTGGTGTGAAACATTTTGAGTGACAACATAAATAATGATGACAATGGATCAAAACCCATAAAATACAATAAATTTCTATAAGCCCATACTGATACAAATAAATAATTGAATAAATAAATAAACAGGGGAGAGGGAAAGCAACAGAATCCCAATTAATAAATGTAGAAGGAATGATGCAATTGGAAAACTATCATTTGGCAAGACACGCAGTAATAATTGTTCTAGACCAGAAACATCCATGGGAAAGCCGGGTGCAGTGGCTCCCAGCACTTTGGGAGGCTGAAGTGGGGGGTAATG